AGGATGGGGGGGTCCTCAGGAGGGGGCAGTCAGGGGACAAGAGGCAGGGAGGCTTAGGTAGGGGGTGGAGTCCTGGGGGGCAGTTAGGGGCAGGGGTCCCAGGAGGGGGCAGTCAGGGGACAAGGAGCAGGGGGAGGGTTGGGGGTTCTGAGAGGGGGAAGTGGAAGGGGCAGGGGTGGGGCTAGGGCAGGACGGGTGTAGGGCTAGGGCAGGGCTCCTCCCGTCCTCTTTTTCACTTGCTGAAATATGGTAATCCTACATATGCTGGGATGTCACCGGGTAAGGCTGTGAGGTTAACAGGCTACGCTCTGTCAGGGGCCACACTGTTCCGGAGGTGGGTGGATTTGTTCTTTATCCCCATATTTTATCCATGTCATTCTCCCACGAAGGAGCCTCCAGGTACCGCAGCTGGTACCGGTCGCTTCAGGGATGCGGACTAGCGCGTAGAAACAACGGGACGTTGAGGCAGGAAATAGGGCCTGCTGTTCTAGGCCTTATCCCGCACGCGGGCGCGTGAGCAACCACTGACAAATTTACAGAGCTGGCCAATCGCTGAGACTCTTATATCCAGCAGCTCTACGCCCCTCTCTATCTGATCCTCCAGAGTTGCCGTAGCGAGTTATGCTAGCCGGCCGTGCTCTGATTGGGTAGTGGGAATAACTGCTCGCCGCCGATTGGCTGCGCTGGCTGGCGGGGCCAGAGAGGGTGGGAAGGCAGGTGGTGGGGGCGCGCACCCTTTCGGGAAGGCCGCGATGCCGGGACAACAGCGGTGAGGCGGAGCTTCGTTCCTAGCCCTTGTGTGAGCGGCGACGAAGCGGAAGCTCGCGCGGTAACGGACCCGGTTGGGGAGGCAGTGCGGGCAGCTGGGATCGGACAGCGTTAGACCCCCGCTGGGGGGGACTGTGCTCGCAGCTCTTGCTCCCGAGACTGTCCGGGGGTGGGAGCCACAAACCTCCGGGCCAGGGGGTGCGAGGGGCGGGGCTGTGCGCACAGGTACATCGGGACACCGTGCAAGCTACGCTCTGCTCTGCTCGCTGTTCGTGAGGGTCCCCATCCCGCTAGCGTGTCCAAGGAGGAGCTGTAGGACAAGAGCCCGGCGTGGTCCTAGCGGATCTGATCCTTGAATATGGACAGACGGACCCCAGCGCCCAGCCTGGCTTTTGCTTCCCCAGTTAGCTTGTTTTGGCATCCGTCAGAGCTGCAGGAGTGTTTCTGTTTGGTTTGTCTCATGGCATCAGAGCGGACTCCGGCTGGAGATAATCGGAGTTAATTCAAAACCAGTGATTGTGGTTAGAAATATATTGTTTATGGCGGCAGGTGTCGTCTTAATTTCTTCCTGAATTACTTTTCTGTGTAATGTAACGGAATTGAGTAATGCACCTTTACTGCCCTGCATTAGAGAGCATAACATAATCTTGATATGATCTGACTTGTGTTAATGTAAAAGCAATCAAGAAAGTATCAAAGCAAAACTTATGTCAAAGACAGTTTAATTATATATCTTTATTATCTGAGTAGTACTTTATTTTCAACTCAGAGATGTTAAAGACCTTTTAGGTTATCTACTTAAAAATACTCCTGTCTATAGTGGTGGGTTTGTGGGGGTTTTTTTGGGTGGAGGGGTACTTTTGAATATCCCAAACAGAATGAGGTTTCTAGCATTTCCTTTAGGAAACCCAATTTTATAGTTTTTATAGAAATATTTTGATACTCAGACTAATTTTGTACTTCTTTATTTAATGAGACACTGGAGAATGACTTAGGCCCCCAACTTTTACAAACCTTTTAAAGAATATGTGATGATTATGGCTTGTCTACAGTTAAAATGCTGTAGTGTTTCAGTGAAGACACTATTTGCATCAACCGGCCTCCTTGAGAGGTGCTAACTAGGTTGACGGGAAAATTAATCCCTTGACCTAGTGCTGTCTACACCACGGGTTAGGTTGGTTGAACCGAGTAACTCAGGATTATGGATTTTTTCACACCTCTGAGCGACATAGTTATACCGACCTATTTTCCTACTGTAAATCAGGCCTTAGAGTTAAATGTTGCTTTCTAAAACAGATCTTGGCAGGACTGGCAGAAGTCTGTACCACTCGATGTATGTCATATATGGGTACTTTGATGCCAAGGGGACAACTATCAAGAAACTAAACATCTTTAGTGTGTTCTAAACTTTATCAGAGTAATATACAGATAGTGTTTTACTATGCATATGTCAGAAAGCTGCTTTTCTAATTGGGGGGAATTAAAATAAAACTGTAACGATGTTATAAGGCACTCTTTTGTTCAGATTGTTAGCTGATCCTATGTATCAGCTAGTTTTGACACAAGATTGCTCTAGAATCTAATGCAACTTCAAAAACTATGTTGCTGTTTTTAAGCTTACTGTGACAGTTTTATGTTCTTGTTTAACTTATACAGAGACCCTAAAAATAAGACCATGTTGTGTCTTGCTCTTGGAAAACATGAAGTACAGAATTTCAAGGGCATGAACAGGGGCATGTCTCCTCCTTTTTCTCGCCTCCTCCAGAGCAGTTTTTGAAAGTGTGTTTGGCCTTTCTGATTCATGGATTGGCTCCTCTTGGAGTCCTATAGTTAAATTTCCATGGTGTTAAATAATAATCTGTAGAATGACATTTTTCTTATGGATGTAAACAAAACTACAATTGTTTCTTTTGTTCATTTCTGATGGCATGAAAAGCTTACGTTTCTATGTTGCTCTACATTAAATGATCCAAAATCCCTTTCCAAATGGATGGGAAACTCTGGAGTTTGCAACATCACTTCATCTTTTCCAGTCAGTTAGTGAAGGACTGTGCTGGAGACTCTTGAACCCAGATCACTGTGTGGTAGCACACTTGTTTCTTCATAAATTCAATTGTTTGTATTTTGTGGAATAAATTTAATTTGGAAAAAGGTCCTTTGAGCATTAAAATGTTTTGTTTTGTTTCACAGGGTAAATATTTATACAGAATGTCAGTGAACTCATTATTTGGGAATAAGAAGAGAAATAGCTCCATATTATATGATGTGGATCAGGCACAGATTATGGCTTCATCTTCTGTTTATCCAGAATCCACTAGTCGAGGATGTATTGGGAACCACGGCGATGGCTTCCCCCCAAACAAGCGTTACAAAAGCTTTGAGTCAAAGTCCAAGCAAACAGAAGATTCTTTTGGAGACCATGATGACTTCACAGCTGATGACTTGGAAGAAATAGATATAATTGCTTCACAGGCTTTATCACAAGTTCTAGACTCAAATACTCTTTCTAGAACAACACACGTCCAGAAACCTGAACAGAATGCCAGACCATCCTTAACCCCAAACAACACCAATCAAAAGTCTTTAAATATTGAACAACGGAGTGTTGCCTCTAGTGCAGAAAGAAATATGAAAGAGCAATTCGGTAAATGTAGTCTTGGAATATGGGAGTATAATTAGGGATGTGATTGCTTTGGTGTCTCCTTATTTTTCAGATCAGGGGACTGACATGCTGAACTTGTTCTGACTAGAAAAATGTCTAAAGTAATTATCTTTTGAGTAGATTCTTTAATCTCAGCTCCAAAGTAAATTTCACTGTTGCTGAAATGTTCATTTAGGTTCTTGAAGCTATCTTGAGTTACCAGAATTAGTGGGGGAAATTGTTCTAATCGTCAGGGGAATCTTAGTTCCTGGATAACTTAACTGTCAACATTTCAGAGTTGGTATGTACATCTAATGACATGTCTTAAAGAACTAGCTATAGAGCTTGGCAAATAGTATGACTGCATGTGATAAAATAGCATTAAGTAAGAAGTACCCAGAAGCTGTGCTCCAAAGAAGTGTGATCATTTGGAAAGATCACACTTTGATATGTAGCACTGTTTTGTGTGTGTGTGCAACGCTTTATCTAAGGAAAGTAAGCCAATTTAGCAAGCTTTAACTCAGTCACATAATGGCTCTGAACCAAGTTCTACTGTACCCATTACAGACAGTTAAACTGAGGTACAATAAGGTGAAGTAGCTTGCTGAAGGACAAGCAGCAAATGAGAGGCAGAAATGGAATTAGAAAGCAGGAGACCTGGGTTCCCAGACTTCAGTTCTAATCACTAGGTTACACATGTGATTGTGTAATACACCTCTACCCTGATATAATGCGACCTGATATAACACGAATTCGGGTATAACACAGTAAAGCAGTGCTCCGGGGGGGGCCTGCGCACTCCGGTGGATCAAAGCAAGTTTGATAGAACGCAGTTTCACCTATAACGCGGTAAGATTTTTTGGCTCCTGAGGACAGCGTTATATCGAGGTAGAGGTGTATCTGTCATACCCACAAGTGATTTTTAAATTCCCTTTTGGGAAAGAAGGGACGGTGACCTGTTCATAAATATCATGCAACAAACTTGAATCCTCTGAATGGATAGGATCTTCTACTCATTGTAAACGTTGATCAATAACTTTTTCTGGCCAAAACTAACCTCAATTGTTATTTGCACTACTGTTTATAACATTTGTAATTTAATGAGAATCTACTAGTGGTCTAAGCACTGGTTATGAAATACCTCACTTCCCTGAAACATCACTTTTTAAATCCTAGCACAGTTTAAATCAGCTTTACATCCTTTTGGAGTACGTAAATTAAATTTTATGCGACTTGATTGTATATGGAGTCTTTCAGATAAGACAGGAATATCCATGTTCCTGACTCTTCGGCCAGTATGTGAAAGGTCCTGTAGCATTTGTGTAAGTAGAAGTTTGCCCGTGCCCTGGCCAAAATGCTCCCTCTCTTCCCAATTCCCCCACCCCCCCACTCCCCCGAAAGCTGTATGTTGTATGCTGTATGCTGAATGTGGCTGTGTTTCATTGGTGCTATATGCATAGTTTACATAGCACCTTACAACCAAAAGAAAAATATCTCAAGTATGAGTGTCTGCCAGTTGAGTAAGCTGTAATGGAAAAGAGTATTTTTTTTTTAATTGTTAGGAATTTAGCCTTAACTGGTCAGTGTCTGAATTTATAAAAGCTAAATTGATCCTTAACCCTGAAGCTTCTGTTTTGTGGGCAAAATTCTGTGCTGGTCCGTGGAGCCAGTCACAAGTTCAGAGCCCAGGTTTATGTCAGTTTAAGATTTGATGGGTGGGCACTGGAGAATACCTGGTGTTCTGAGCTCATTGCTTATCTGTGATAACAACGTGTACGCTTAAAGGACACTTTCTGTTAAATTTGGCTTAAAATCTAAGTGGCATGTGTGAGAATGGGGTAGGAGAAAAGAATCTTCTACTAACTTAAGACCAATAGAAGTGATTGCATAAATTAGAAATCCAGTAATATTTATAACCCAAACAAGTCAAAGTGGATAGGAACATAAAAGAAAAATAGAATCTTTTTTTGTTTGTTTTTAGTCAACTTTCATTGAGGACGAATTCAAAAAGTAAACAATCAAGATAAATATCAAAAGTAAACTAGATGTTTAAATTCTTCTAATTTCCTAGTTTCCAAGGCCATAAGTGACCATTGTGATCATCTAGTCCGGGGTGGACAAACTTTTTGGCCCGAGAGCCACATCTGGGTATAGAAATAGTATGGCGGGCCATGAATGCTCACAAAATGGGGGTTGGGGTATGGGAGAGGGTGAGGGCTCTGGCTAGGGGCACGGGCTCTGGGGTGGGGCCAGAAATGAGGAGGTCGGGGTGCAGGAGGGGGCTCCAGGCTGGGGTGCAGGCTCTGGGGTGGGGCTGTAGATGAGGGGTTTGGGGTTCAGGAGGGTGCTCTGAGCTGGGACCAAGGGGTTTGGAGGGCGGGAGGGGGATCAAGGCTGTGGCAGGGGTTGGGGTCTGGGGGGGGCGGCTCAGGGATGCAGGCTTCAGCTGGTGATTACCTCAAGTGGCTCCTGGAAGCAGTGGCATGGCCCACCTCCGGCTCCTATGCGGATGTGTGGGTAGGTGGCTCTGCTGTGCGCTGCCCTGTCCGCAGGCACTTCCCATGCAGCTCCCATTGGCCGTGGTTCTCAGACAATGAGAGCTGTGGGGGCGACTCTTGGGGTGGGGGCAGTGTGCAGAGCAGATTCCCCTGACTGCCCCAACGCCTAGGAGCCAGAGGGGGGCCATGCCGTTGCTTTCCAGAGCCGCGTGGAGCAGCCCCTGATCCTGCTCCCGGCTTGAGCGCTGGAGCGGGGCAAGCCGACAGAGGAGCGGGGTCTGGGGAGGTTGAGGGCCGGATTAAAATGGCCGGCGGGCCGGATCCGGCCGGCGGGCCGTAGTTTGCCCATCCCTGATCTAGTCTGACCTCTTGTATAAAACAAACCATAGAACTTCCCAAAATAATTTCTACAGCATATCTTTTAGAAAAATATGCAATTTTGATTTAAAAGTTCTTGGTGGTGGAGAATCAACCTGTGGCCAATTATTTCAGTAGTCTAAGGTACTGCAAATAGGGTGGATTGATTTAAATCTCCAAGTGGAAAACCTCAATTTAAATAACTGATTTTAATCAACTTTTCCATTTGTACTTTAGTTATTTTCTAAAGAAAGGTGCATTCTTATTGGTTGATATAACCATTAAAACATGTTGATTTACAACTAAGTAGTAGAGCCTTTACCCTAGATTTGATACATCTTTTTGCTACCTAGGAGAGTACACTATAATATACATTATTTTAAGCAGTGATATACCTTAATATTTTCAGATTCTTCTTTATTAATTGTACATTTTAGTATGTTAGAAAATGAATGATACATTGCTTATTTAGCAGATAATTAACTTTGTGCTCATGATTTGTCAAGCTGCATTAGGATGGTAAATGGAATTTAATTAAACACACACAAAACACATACATTTAATTCTTATTAAACCAAACAAGTCCTTAATATACTACATAACCTGTTGTGCCATATTTATAAAGCTTGACCTTGAAAACTTGACGTTTTTCCCCCTGATTTTTTTTCTTTATGTAGAAAAAAGCACACTTGGACTCAAATATTTGATAGAGGCTTCTGGATTCAGTGATTTTATTTAAACGTTTTGAGATTATAGTAAGTTTAGGCCTTAAAATATTCTGTATTTAAATTCAGATTTTATTTTAAATAGGCTTACTTTTTTTAAAGAAACACTTATAATTTAAATGACAAAATAAAAATCTTAAATTGTTACAAAGTTGATTTTATCCACCCTCATTACAAATTGTTTGGCTGGGTTTTTGTTTTTGTTTTTTGAGTAAAGAAATCCTAATGGATTCATTATAGTAAAGTTATTGTGGAAATAGAAGTATCAATTTCCTGACTTGGTGCCAAAATACTGTGTGTGTATATATAGGCTTGGCAGAATTTGTTTTATAATTTTCAGTGGATGACAGATTATTTGAAAGCATTTTTTCAATTTTAATCAATTTAAATTGTCACAGTTGTGGGAAACTGGGGGTGAGGTCAGACAATTATTTAATGACAGTAGATGTTGATCTTCAAAAAGTTAAAGCTTTATAACTGTTAAAACACAAATTGTCAACATCACATTTCAAACTATACAAAGAAAATATGCTTAAATCAAACTGAGTTTCCAAACAACATTTTTCTCATTTTCCCGGTCTGTAAATTTTGATTGACAGAAATATTTTTTCATTGGTTTGCAAGTAAACAGTGAAATGGACATTTACTGACATTTACCAATAAAAATATAATCCTTAGAAACTAGAATATATGTGAAAACAACAAGGAGTCTGGTGGCACCCTAAAGACTAACAGATTTATTTGGGCATAAGCTTTCATGGGTAAAAACCTCACTTCTTCAGATGCATAGAGTGAAAGTTACAGATGCAGGCATTATATCCTGACACATGGAGAGCAGGGAGTTACTTCACAAGTGGAGAATCTGTTAGTCTTTAAGGTGCCACCAGACTCCTTATTGTTTTTGTAAATACAGACTAACACGGCTACCCCCTGATACTAGAATATATGTGGTGAGATGTTGAAATGTTATCAATAATAACTTGTTACATACTTTAAAGTGGAGTTGGTATCAGAATTCTCTCTTTTCACCAGGAAATGGCACTGAAGATATTCGAATTAAAGACACATTTGGATTTGAAGTACTGCAAACACAACATGAAGAAGTTAAGCAAAAGGTTAATTGCCTCTTTCTTTTTTTTTAATCTGCTGGTGTACTGTTTATTATAGCAATTTTTGGTGGTGGTTTTAGTTGTGACCTTTGGATTAAGTCCAGTTTAAGGTATCTTTAATCACCTTGCTTATGATACCTGGATCTGCAGAAGGCCAGTCTGCTTAAAAAACAAATCAGTTTACTCTTCAGGAGAACAACTCTAGGCCAAATTGTGATTTCTGTTGGTTTTGGGTGGATTGAATCCATAATATCAGTGGTATAAATCCACACTTCTTAAAGGTATGCTCTGCTTACAGCTGAAAGAAATACAGGATGAAATCCTTGTTAAAAATGGAGAAATTAAAATTTTGCGGGACTCAATGCTGCAGATGGAATGCACTTTGGAGGAACAGAGAAGATCATACATGCTACTGGAAAAGGAAAAAGATCAGACACTAAGTGAAAAAGAAAAGGAGTTCTCCAAAAAGGTAGCGTGTGTGTGGGGTTTTTTTTTTTTCCTGTGACAGCTGTCTAACTCCTTATGTGGAAAAGCTCAATTGATTACTATTTTGCTTAAGTCACAATCATTACCTAATCAAGAGAAGAGCACTTAAAGCAAACTTTCCTCTAATTTTTTATCCAGCAAAGTTACATATAGGAAAAAACAGGCTACCAAATTATGGTATAATTTCCTCATAGGGGATAGTGGTGATGTTCTTCTAACAAATTATAGGAGTGTTGCACAGGTGGCTTTTGAAAGAACCTGGAACATTCAAACTAGAATTACAGCCCCATAACTGAAAACCATTGTATCTCTGTTTTTACAGCCAAACTCCAACTTCCGGTATCTTCAGTTTTCCCCCAAAGCACTGTGAAAGGTTGCTGCTGCTTACTCCACTACTCAGGTCCTTTAGTGCAATCCTCCCTTGAGTAGCAACTAACTGCTATAACCATCATGATGAGTTTGCCTTATTGTACCAATGTTTGGTTGTGTTGTATGGTATCTGATTCTCAGCTGGGATAGCATACAAGTGAACTGAGTGTTTGGCTTAGGTTGGATTGAGTTAATAATTGTAGTTTTGGTATAGTAATATGGTAATCTATATGTAGGTGTGAGAAGGTTGGTGGTAGCTGAGCAAAAGGTAAATTATTAGCATAAACAAGTATCTCCACAGCGAAGCCCTTTTCTTTTGACACTGACTTGAAAGCGAAGGTTATCTTAAAGCTTCTCAGTAGCACTTGAAACTTTATGATTAATTTGGAGGTACAGAATGCACTTGTCATTTTAATAGGTTTGCTCCTTGGTGACTGCTTATAGATTAAGAAGATTGGTGAGATGCACACATAGAGACATTAGTTTTATTAATAGCATGATCAAGATAAGCAAAATCACAGAACTAGAAAAACAAGAATGACAGCAGAATTCACATCATGTATACTCATGAATCCGCAAATCTGTGGGTTCCCCTTAAAATGAGATTTAGCGTTAAGGTGGTCACCAATGTGTTATCCCAAGATCCTGCTGAGGGCTGGGTATGATTCCCTTTTTAGCCACGTATTCCTTAGATCCACCTATTTCCAAGACCATATTTGATTATCTTGTCTTTTTGTTTGTATTTGCCATTCCTGCTATTCATTTTTGGGACAACTGTTGTAAGCATTTGCACCGATAGAATGTTCTGTATGCAGTCCTGTTAAGGAAGTGTGGCTAAATAAACCTTAATTGTCTAGACAACAAACTATAAAATATATATATTGTTAAATCTTATGACCAAGGTTACTTACTAATGCTAACTTGTATTAGGCCTAATGTGGCCTTATGCTAATTATTACTGCCAGTAGGCCACAAGCTAAATACTAGGAATCTGACTCACTGCAAAATGTTTGTTTCTTTGTTTATTCCTGTCTGCATTATAGCATTAGTTTCATTTGCATTAATTTAGCAAACATCTTAACTCTTTCTAAGATAGAAATGATTATTCTTGATCTGAGCTCAAGTCATGCATCAAAGGTCAACAATCTTATGCTATACCATCCCAATCATTGAAGGTTTTAAAGGATACATTAGTCAAACACTGTCAGGATGGTTTAAGTATACTTAATTCTGCCACACCACTTGGTAGGAGGGAAGCAGGGGATGGAATGGACTAGATGACCTGTTGTGGTTCCTGCCAGCTCTCTATTTCTATGATTCTGTGTTTTGTTACTCTTTCAATTTATATAGTGTTTAATGCAAAATTACTCGCATTCCTTTTTCAGTTACAGTCCTTGCAGTCAGAGTTGCAGTTTAAAGATGCTGAAATGAATGAATTGAGAGCAAAACTTCAGAACTGTGAAAGAACTAAGCCTGTTACTCCGTCAGTTACAAACGCCAGGTACCAAATAGTTTTGAAAGACAGAAAATTCAAATGTGAATTATTTCACGTATGGAGTTTCATTAAACATTGCAGACCAACTTCTCTACTGGCGTAACTCAATTGGTGTCAGTGGACTTTTGCTGGGAGAGAATCTGACCATGTCTCTTTTCATATACAAATGCAAAGAGCAAAGGTTGTTGGAAAATTGCAGTGCACTAGCATTCTTTTGTCAAATGCAGCACAAACATCACATGAACAAATAAAGTGTGTGAAAATTAGTTTCTCACGGTATAAAATAACAAAGCTAAAGACTGAAGTGTAAACCTCTGATTTAGTCTCTCTTCATTGTAAAGTTGCTTCTAGCTAAAATGTGTCCTTTACTGTGAATTTTAAAGTGTTAGATTTATTGAGATTTGTGTTTCAGGTTTATTCAAAGCATAGTTTTGATACAGCCCTAGAATATTTATTACTCAGATTAAAAACTGTTCAGTTCTCCAGGGTCTTTCATAAGATCAGAGACCTCTTTTTTTTTTACTTAACACATGAAAAATTTCTTTAATGTTTTGGGTTCAAACTCTTAGCATAGTGCATGCACTGATATCTGTAATCATTAAAGATCTAGAAAACATGACCTATGAGGAAAGATTGAAAAAATTGGGTTTGTTTAGTCTGGAGAAGAGAAGACTAAGAGGGGACTTAATAACAGTTTTCAAGTACATAAAAGGTTGTTACAAGGGGGAGGGAGAAAAATTGTTCTTCTTAACCTCTGAGGATAGGACAAGATGTGCTTAAATTGCAGCAAGGGAGGTTTAGGTTGGACATTAGGAAAAACTTCCTGTCGGGGTGGTTAAGCACTGGAATAAATTGCCTAGGGAGGTTGTGGAATCTCCACTATTGGAGATTTTTAAGAGCAGAAATGGTCTAGATCAGTGGTCCCCAACCTTCTTCGTCTGGCAAGTGCCAGATGATGAGCCACAGAGGACCGTGGCGACGGACGAGCATCCGCCGAAATGCCGCCGACAAGTGGCAACGTCAATCGGCGTCGCCACCGCCAACAAGCAGCGTCATCCAGAGGCGTTGCCGTCGAAAATCGGCGACATTTCGGCAGCAACGCGTCTGGATGATGCTTCTTCTCGGCGGCATTTCGGCGGATGCTCATCCACCAGCCAGTACGCGGGCGCACTTAGACACCCGAGCAGGTGCCATGCCGCCCGCGGGCACCGCGTTGGGGACCCCTGGTCTAGATAATACTTAGTCCTGCCATGAGTTCAGGGGACTGGAATAGATGATCTCTCAAGGTCCCTTCCAGTCCTATGATTCTATGTTGCAGAAGTTCACCTAACATGGTTCCTTTGTCCTCCATTAGCCTAGGAGGATGTGTCTTTTTTTTTGCTCTGGCCCCCACCAGTCCCAGATACTTGTACGATGGGATTTTAAAGTTCCCTGTGCCTTGTTTGGCTTTTAAATTGAGAGCTGGACCAGGACCCACATGTTTTACCTCTTGGAGCTGCTTGAGGGGGGTTATTTTAACTTTAATCTTGTAGTATACTACATGCCTTTACAGCCATAACTGGTGAGACAGTGGATCCATAACAGGAAGTTGTAGAGCACAGAAGACGAGACGCTCTACTGTGAACTCTTCCACTGTGCCTGTCATAACAGATTTTTTTTTTCTGTTGACCTGTGATAAGCTGACCTCTTCCCCAATAAAATAAGTTTGACTTTTTCAGCCAGCCTCTGCATCTTGCATTGCTCCAAAAGCTATATGTATTTTGAGCTGGATCATGCCCTAGCTAGTTAAGTAATTCAAGTGTAAATAACATACACTAACAATACTGTAAATACAGGTGGAAATATAGTATGTTCTTGTATTTTGTGAAATAATTTGTTTTGATTTCACAGACAGTTAGCAAACACTTCAAAATGTACAATTTGTCTTTGAGTAAATTAGTACATAATGCAATACCTTTGGCACATCAGAATTAATGGAAATTGATGTGTATTTAAAAAAAAAAGTGTGATACTTCTTCTTCGTAACATTCAGAAATTAGCACAACACAAGTAGTACTTTATCCAAGCATTTGATTTAATCTTTTAGCCCTAGGAAGAGTCCCTCCAGAATTGTAAAATTGGAAGCATGTTCTCTTCAGACTGGAAAAAGATCTTTCCCTACAAAAGAGACTTTCAGCGCTGACATGTCCCTTAAAGTATCCTGTTCTGCAGCAAATTTGTCTTCTGAGACTTCTTTGAACAAGGAGGGTAAGGCACTGTTTTTATAGCATCCAAAAAGTAGTTAGATGTAAAGCTTTGGGTTTCACTGTTGCTTGTATTCATCTTGTACTGTATGTCTGAACAGTTTGTATGGCCTTTCTTCACTTACCATAGTAACATACTCTGGCTTTCCATTCAGAAATTCTCTTCTCCTTTGCAGCTAGTTGTATTAACTCCCTCTGGCTGAAATTTGTTTTAGCCCTCATGTACAGTCTCAGGAGCATGTATATTGCTCTCAGTCAACTATGAAATTTCTTTTAGCACTAGTGGGAGTTTTATATTGAAAGGCATGGATTTAAATGTACACGTTGCATAAAAACTTTCTGTGCTGTCTTAGTAGTTTTTAGCCTTTTTTTAAAAAAACCCACACATTTTCTGTTTCTTGCCAAAAAACCAAGTTCTTTCCTCTTGAATAATTACCTTATTTTAACATCTCTTTCTGGATTTTTGGATTAGTACCTCTTGTCATTTAATAGCCTAATATTTCTTTCCCTTCAAAAAGGAAGGGATGTACGTATTCTATGTGTTTACTCGTAATGAAGGATTTGGAAGACTGTTTGCACAGTTATTACTTTTGAATGGATTTGGGGATTAAATACCATTAATAAAATTGTTTCAGTTGCTGGACACTGGAAGAGTACATGACTATTGGAGAACCCTACTTTGAGAGATCTGACTCTGCAAGATTCTCTCAATGAAGTAAATGGAATTACTCATTAGATTCTTTGTGAGAGTAAGGGGTCCAGGATCAGGTCCATACACCCAAACAGCAATTAAAATTCCATCTCTTCTAGAAGGTTGGTAATATTGCAAAAGTCTGCCAAAAGGGTGTAATAGTTCATCTATCTCTCAAAAATAAATATTTTAAAAATGATGTGGATAAGTAAAGAATACTTTAGAAGACAATTTGAAGCTGGGAAAACAACTAAATACAGTGATGTAAAGTGAAGTAATGCACATGTGGCAGAGTGACAGATTAATGCTAGGAAACAATAAAGCTCAGACATCTGCTCAGATCTGCAAGTGGCCAAACGATCAACTAACCTTTATAGGAACAACTAAGCTGAATCAGAGCAGTTGTCCATCTAGTCTAGTATCCTGTTGCAAACAAAGGGCAATACCGGCTGCTTTAGAAGAAAAGTGCAAGAAACCTCGCAATAGCTGTGAAGTATAAATACTTACACATCCATTTCAAAACACTGGATTTTTAGCCATTACTGTTACAACATTCAATATTGTTATCTATATAAATGGCTATCTTTTTTTTTAATCTAGCTAAGGTTTTGTTCTTAATTGTATCTTTGGGCAAGGAGTTCCAGGGGTGTCATTGATTATATAGTAAAGCACTTTGACATCCTCAAGTGGAAAGAACTATAAAAATGTTAAGTATTGTTGAGGACTGCATGGTCACTCTGAAAATCTAAGTTCACTTATATCCTCATTCCTTGACAACTAATGTTGATTAACTAATTTAAAAAAAAAATCACTGTGGAATGGTAATGTTGAACTAGCCTATGATTAAACTGTAGAGCAGTGGTTTCCAAACTGGGGTTTGTGAACCCCTGCAGGTTCGCAAAATGTTACAGGGGGTTCTCGGGGGGGAAAATTACCTTATGGTGGACAGAGCTGTTCCTAGGGACCCTGGGCAGTACGGGGCCAGCAGCCTGGAGCCCCTAGACTTCCAAGAGCTAAGCAGATCAAAGCAAATCTATCTGTCACACTGAGGAGATTTAAACTTCAAGACTCCTTATAAGAAATGAAAAGGGAGGTGGATATTTTTTTGCTGTTTTTAAAATTAAATAGGCAGCTAGTATTGTTTTTAAAATTACTATGAAGGACAAGTTTAAGCTTTGTTGTAACATGAGTTGTTTGCCTAGACTGCTCAAGACCTGAATGCTTGTGTAGGAGGAACTCTTTGAGTTGGCTACTTAAATACCTTCATGCTGTTTCACATCTGATATTCCTTGATGAAACATAGGAGCCTTGTCTTATAACAGGCTTATTCAAAGTGATACACGCTATGAAAGTGAGATCTTGGAAGAGTGTTGCCATTTTCATAACGTAATAAAAATACTGTAATGATAAATAATAATTAATAATAGTGTGTAATAAGCATGTCACAAAAACAAATTCTATATTTCCAAGATCACTGCTTTTATAATTTATACTCAGGTAAAGAAGAAAATCCCTGGAAATATTCATTTTTAAGAAAGGGGGTTTGCAAAACTTGACCTTTTAGTGAAAGGGATTCATAGGTTGTTAAAGTTTGGGAACCACTGCTGTAGAGCAAAGGTACACTTTTTCTGTTGACTTTCTCACTGTCTAATGCAGAGGGATCAATTAAGGTTGCCACATCAGCATTAACTCTTGAGACTTTGTTTGAAATAACTGAGTTAAGGCAAAGTAACGTAATCCATAATCACACTTTTTTCTCCATACTTACTAGCTATATCACAACTGTTATCTGATTGAATATGCATGCCGATTAAATACAGTTACAAATGTATAAGGAGCTGGTTTTACTACTTGCATCACTGTACCCTTTTTGTTTCAGACAGTAAGATCCCCTGTCCTGAAATCGAACTTGTGAAGCAAGAACTGATGGAGAGAAATGTGTCTTACAGTTTTGTTCAAAGACAAAACACCCAAGGTAACTCCATCTTCTTAATTCAGAAATTAGGTGGCACCAGAGCCAGAAGTTGTCAAAGGACCACTGGGTATACTTCTATTAAGCAACATTATTATGTAGTATACAAAGTACAATATTATTGTTCAGGAAGGTGGTGATGGAATAATGCTTTCATTATTAGGACCGGGATCTTAATCTAGAACTTGTAGGAAGATATTGTTATCCTATATTGCTATAACCTTTCTCAAAAAATATTTACTTTGGCACCAGTGGAAAGAGATGGGTTGAAAAATTTCTGTGGTGTAATTATATGGCCACCTCTTTCTTTCTTTCTTTCTTTCTTTCTTTCTTTCACTCTAAATCAATTGATGTTATGATTGCTTTTCACTGTAAAAAGATGTAGAAGAGAGGAAAGAATAGTTTTTGTTTGTTTTTAAATATAAGTACATGCAGTAAGAGTATAGCAGCATCTCCAAGCCTTCAACAGTAGGAAGCTACCAGTACACTATTTTATTCTGAGGTCAGAGTGGCATTATATCTGTTAACACCTAGTTTGGCTCTTGGATACTGTCCTGGGGGCCAAATAAGTAACTAGATAGAGTAGGTGTGTTACTAGGCCTTTGGATAAGGCATTTTACTAAATTGAGATGAGATAGGGAATCTGTGGATATGTTTCTGTGGTGATGACTATTGACCTAAAAATGTAATTCATGTTTGGAGATCTGTTTCCCTAATTAAGGTGAAAAAATATTCTAGATAAATTTTAAATTCACATTTGTGTTAGGTGTACTACAAATACTGTGAAGTCTGTTTGGAGTTTAGATTCCTTGTTTCAGTGAGAGTCTTTTAGTTTCACATTCCAATGGATAGAAAAGAACATCTTAAGACACTTATATATCTTTGCAGGTTCTGTCTTACTAAATGCACTGATGAAACAGCCTATTGCCCCTGGGTCATTACTAGGACTCTGTCATCTTCTTAGCAGTAACTCTGAAGTGCTATCTGGATCTGTCTTGCAGCCTAACTTTTTCAACACGTAAGTTTTTAACTGTAAAAGGCTGATAATGGTAATAATTTATCTCTTTAGATATAAATTTTACTCTTTACAGGGAGTACATTTACAGTACATTTTAGGTTTATTTAAATATGAATGTGGGACAAAAACCTACGTGCATAGGCCTTGCAGCATGGCTTACGAGATTGTTTTGCTCATTTCTGTTTGCCTAATTGCTTTTTGTAGATCAATCTCTTTTCACTTGATGTCTCAAAATAATTTATCCTATGCTTAATTATTCTGGTAAACAATCCTGTGTGTTATTCTTGTTAAGTGTCTTGCCAAACATGTTTGCTCACAATCTCTAGATCTTGCTGATATTTGGGGTTTTTTGTACCTTGCAAATGTTTTCTTTGATGTAATTATTCAGAGGTCTCTTAGTACATATAAAATTGAGTCACCATAAGTCTTATCAAATTATGCTTTTAATCAATATTGCTTATAATGGAGGAAATTTATCTAAGCCTTCTCTGCGCTGCAACTGTCAAAGCAGTTATATAAGTTCTAAAATGTTAATACTGTAACTAGATGCCATATAAGTACTTAATGACCTATACATTTTTCAACTTTAAAGGATCTACAGTAATTCTTTGATGTGTATTTTATCTCTGGATCTGAAAGGACTGATCATTTTAGATCCAGTTGTATTTTGGGTGCATATCTTGAAATTTAATTTTTTTTTTTTACACCTTTTTTGGTTTTTCATCACTCTGACTTTTAATTGTATAGAAATCAATTTCTCCTGTACTTAGCTTCTAAAGTATCTTAATCTTGGATATCTTGCTCTAAAAGTACTAGTGCTTTGTCTCTTTTCAGATATAGCGTTCCAAGCCAAGTTGTCTTCAATACCATAGCCCTAACTATTTACATAAGTAAAAGCTGTGCAACTGATTTCTATGAGCCGCCATTGTTGCTTCCCCCAAGCCTCTCCATTGTTCGTTCTTACCTACTACATTTCCTGTGACCAGTTTACTCTCCATTGCATCAGATTGCCTACAATACAATAATTCTGCCTCTTGTATTGTTTGTGTGTGTTTTAGCCCTTCACTTATGGCTTCTATGTATTACAAGACCTTTCTTCCCAGAAATCGTGCTGGATTCCTCTAAATCAATTTGGGCTTTGATGTCTTCTTAAACCCTTTCATCACTTGGTGACTTTCCCTGTAACTAAAGCTAACATAGTCTCGTCGCCAGGGCCGGCTCTAGGCACCAGCAAAACAAGCTGGTGCTTGGGGTGGCACATTTTTAGGGGCGGCATGGCCGGCACCAGAATGCCGCCCCCTAAAAATGTGCCCCGGCCGCCCTAGCTCACCTCCGCTGCTGCTGCCACGGCGCACGAAACAGCTGATTTGCGCGCTGCTACTCACCCTCCCTCCCAGGCTCTCAAACCTGGGAGGTAGGGGGAGATCCCGAGCGGCCGTTTCGCGCGCCGTTGCTCCCCCTCCCTCCCAGACTTGAGAGCCTGGGAGGGAGGGGGAGAAGCGACGCCTGCGCCGCAGCCACTCAGAGACTCCCCCTCCCTCCCAGGCTCTCAAACCTGGGAGGGGGGGGGAGACTCCGAGTGACTGCGGCGCGGGCGCCGCTTCTCTCCCTCCCTCCCTCCCTCCCTCCTAGGCTTGAGAGCCTGGGGGGAGGAGGCAGGGCTGGGGATTTGGGGAAGGGGCGGAGTTGAGGCGGGGCCGGGGGTGGGGTAATTAAATAAGGGTGGGGCGGCCAAAATTGTTTTTGCTTTGGGCGGCAAAAATCCTAGAGCCGGCCCTGCTCGTCACTATGACATTCTCATTTGTTCCAGGCAGCAAGAGCCTCTTAAACAATTGCATTGTGATGCTTATCTTCAATTATTCACTGTAGCAGATGAGCTGTTGCTTCTCTCATTTATTTACTTCTATTGAAATGGTAACTGGTGGTGGTTTGTGTGTGCGTTTACGTAAAATTAGATAAGGGCATTAAGCATATATAGCTCATAAAAGGTTGCTGAGGATTATAGCTCGGATGGATGAAAACCACATGACTCCAATCGTATTAATGCTATGATGTGTATCTGGAGGGAAGACTAGGGTTCTTCATGCACAAGCCTAGTATCCATGCTCCATTTGTGCTGTTCCTTATGGCCAAAAAACAAAAACCTGGGAAAAATCCATGTTATCTTGTATCCCAGATTCTTTTTCTGACTGGTCACCACTTCCTCGATAAATAAAACGTTTCCAGGCGTGCTTTCTTAGTCCTTGTGCAATGAATTTGTATAATAGTCCAAACTTCCTCCTCTTCCTTTTAAGAAATTGTCTCCATGTTACACTCATTATTGCAGAGATTTTTTTTTAAGGCTCTTCAGTTTTTGTACAATTGAAGTACTCCAGCAGCTGAAACCATGCAAATGCTTGTATGGAGTTTCAGGTTTCATAGTATGTTAGCATCCATTGCTTTGTCCGCCACCCGATCATTCTGAAGAGAGGGCATGACAATATCCTAGTACTTGTATGCATCATCATCTAGTCAGGACAAACTTGGGACAGGAAGTACTGTAGATTTAAAAGTTAAAAAATGACTCTCTAAGGTGTATTTTACACTTTAAGAAAACTGTGTGTGTGCAATAATGAAAATGACTAGTTGGTTACATATGTTACCATATCTCCTAAAACCAGGAGACACCTACATAGAGTTTAAATGTAAATTGTTCCTCTGCCAAAGATGACGGAAATAAATGAGCAATGCAGCCATTTAATTTTACTGAGCTTCATCAGCAATCCTGCTAAATAGTTTATCTAATGAACATTTACCATACTTTAAAAAAAATGTACAATAGAGAGAATTATATATCAAATAAGAAATGTACCCGCTAATTCCCCACATAATCAGTGGGGAAAAAATGTCTCGAAGTCCCATTGTCAGTAGATTAAGGATGCAAGTGATAAAACAGTAATAGTAGATTTTTTTTTTTTTTTAAAGCCTAAAGTAGTAAGGGATCTTTCGGAATATTCTATTTTCTGTTTTGCAATTTAAATAAAACAGACTTGCATTTATTCACCATGTAGCTGACTGAGACAATGAAAAAATGGCCTTCCAGCAGCAATTCTACTGGGAGGACTAAAGGTAAGGTCAACTGTCAAGTTATGCTGCTTGCATGGTAGGAAAGGGTGCTCTAGTAGAGCATTCTTTCTCCCACATGTGCATAAAACAGTGTCTTAACTGTCTTATTTTGAAATTGGACATCTTAACATAATTCATTTTTCATATTACATACAGAACATGAGTAGCCAGAGGATCAAAGGATATACATGGTCATTTTGCTGTCTTTGGTACATTGCATGTATTGAACTATTTCATTTTGTTTTTTACTAGAGGATCTACAGGAATATCCAGCATCAGGACAACTTATTCTCAGGATGGAACTCCTTCTTCTCTTGCTGCTTTAAGAGAAGCTCAAAAACTTGCAATAACGGGATTGAACTTGATTGCTATGGATGAAGGATCATCCAAGGGAGACCTGACAGAAAGTGAGAGGGGACTATTCCTTCTTAAACGCTTTAAGATCCCAGGTGCAGTGCATCTTCTACCTCTAGTGGAATACCATATCAGTGCATACTGTCAAGCTCTGCAGTTGTCGGCAAAGTCAAGAAACAGTCCTGAAAATCAATCAGTTAGTTCTTCTAGAACTAACTCAAGTATAATATCAAGTACCGAGGATTTTAGATCTACTCTGCAAGAGATTACAATTACATCTCTAGGTGTTCTTTATTACTTGGTATATTACAGCTGGGATGTGGTTTATATATTACTATCTTCTGAAGTGAAAAGTGTGTCTGAGATGGAGAAGAACATGGTGTGCAATCATCAATCTGATGGTAAAAAAGAAAATTCCAGACCACAAGGCCAATCTGTAGAACCACAAGATGCTGCTAATAATGACCAATCCCAACATTCTTTGTTCAAAAAATTGCTTCAGCTGTTAGCTTTGTCTTCTACAGCAACAGGTTCCCAGACCAACAGTATCATGAATCAAAGCCTAAAGGTTTTGGTGAAACTAGCTGAGAATTCAACAGTTGAGTTACTAATGAGGTAAGACAGCTCGAGAATGTTAAAAAATTATTCCATGCCTTTTGTTTTACATTCCCAAACAATTCCTATTTTCCTCTTCAAAACTGTGATTCACACGGATTACAGCAAAATGTGTTATGTACGTGAGAGGATCACAAATTCCTCTCTGCAGCTACCTCTAATAGCAACTGAGGATCACACCAGTGCCTCCATTACTCATGAACATGATAGGTGCCCACAAGCAGTAAAACTGAACTGATTCCGCTAAGCTTACACTTCACAGCTGCTGTTGCCCCAGGAGGAAATTATCCCATTTGTCACTGGCAAGTGAAAAAATTTCAAGCTTTTGTTATAGTCATAATGCCCCTAAACGTGTTCCATTGTATGATCAGAGTCACTGGTAAGTATGTACAGAACGTGGACATCTTGCTATGTGATTTGTGAACAAAATCCCACTTAATAAATGTAGCAAACCTCTAAAAGACCATTTGACCTGCAAGTGATTGTATGCATAACTGCAGGTTCAGTTTTAGAGGGTGGATTAGAGGCCCCTTTGAAAATGTACCTGACTGAGTCAGTATATTTACTTCCAGTGTTTTTCTTTTTTCTGACAAATAGCTTTTCTCCCAAACTTGAGGAATAGCTGCATAGCAGACCAGTGTTTTGTCTGGCTAGAGCAGTGGCGGGCAACCTGCGGCCCGAGGGCTGCAGGTTGCCCACCACTGGGCTAGAGTCTCCTGTCCACATTATTGTTTAAAATCCTGAGTAAAATGATTTGCTTCCTAAAGTCATCGTGTTTCCAATTTCTAACTCTGATTTCCTTTTAAAAGTTTTTGGCACTTGCTAACTAGCCAGATGTTGCTTCGCTGTGTGTGTCCTGAGACCCCTTTGTCTGCTGTCCATCTGACTGTGCGGCTGTTGGCCATGCTTATTCATCACCAGAAGCTGGCTGCTCAACTTTGTTGTCATTCAGGTAAGAGAGAAATTACTAATCATCATCATTCTTAAACAACCTATTTATGAAACTTAGTTGAAAATGTTAGTATTTTTATAGGTGTGAATTATGGGTGTTATGCATAAGTCTTGCGCCAGTTATTAACTCAGAAAAGCAAACTATGCAGTATTACCTGAGAACTTGCCAGCTGATGCTAGTTTTCAACAATCTGAAATTTTAATAACCATGTGGATTTCTCTTGGCTATTTTCCAGGCCTACTTTCAAGATGTTAAAAGTTTTTAATATGGAAAAGTGCTACTGAGAAGTAAAAAATCAATTTCCCTCTAATTGGTACCTGACCTTAAATGACACTGTTGGTCTCTGGGGCTTTGGGACTCTAGACACATCACAAATGTCAAGTAGAAGGTCTTTTTCTAAGAGTCTACTTGATAGTGGGATTCTGAATAGCAGTTCCCCAAAGCCATATAAATTAACTATTGAAAACTACAACAGACATATATGGTCTAATGCATAATGTACTGAACTAGTATTTCTTATGTAATGCTTAGTAAAGGTAGCTGTATCAGAGTGGATTGATTTAAATGACTGATTTTAATCATGATTAAAACCAAGCAGGAAACCTCGGTTTAAATCTATATTTTTAATTGTGTTTTGCATTGATGTATTTATTTTTCCCCAAAGAAAAGTTGATTCTCATTGGTTGGTAACCATTAAAACATACTGATTTGCAACTAAATGTAGCCTTTATGGTAAAGTAGGTGCTTTTTTCCTAACTAGGAGGTTGCACTATACCTATACCCATTTATTTAAGCAATTATGTAGCTTAACTTAAATCTACTCAATTCTTAATTTTTCCATCTTTTATTATGTTGGAAAATTGATGAATGATACATTTCTTATTTACAAGATGGCTGCTACTTTACTTCCAATTTTGATCAAGCTCTATTTGGATGGAAGTTCAAATTCAATTAAAAATGCAAAAACATTTTCATTTTTTAATTAAAATTATCTTTAATGTGCTGAATGCATAAGAAAAATGTTTATCAAAGCATGTTTTGCATTTAAAACTAACTGATTTTATTAAACAAAAATTATCTGTAGTTAGTGAATTGAATTGATTGTTTCTTGTCTCCATGTCCTTCAAGATATTAGAACTAGTAGATCTCATCCTCAAACACGTAGTTTGTATCCATGGATCGGAAGAGGGAAAACAAGCTTTCCTGCTTTTTCAACTCCTAGTTGATTTCTTAACTTTGAATGATCTAGTCATTGCACTAAACTAGTTTAATAAACTGAAATGAAGAAAATATTCTCTCTGCACCTGCAGAAGAGGCTACTGCTATCAAAAGCTGATTTAGCACGTCAACAAACTCTTACTGGCTAAGCCCCTGGAATCACTGTCACCAGTTTAGTGGCTTGACCTTCTTTAAAATTCAGCCGCAAACATGTACTGCTTAACATTATATTTATATTTATATTTAATTAAAATTCTTGTAATAGAATTATAATAAGCTTGTGTTAGCAGATTGGCAATTTCAAATTTAATATTGCATTTAAAAAAAACCCTTGCATTTAATATAAATAAAAAAATTAATTTTAAATGTTAAAAAATCCAATTTTAATTGTAGATTTTTATCTGCCCTTTAGTCTAGCTTTGGACTAGAATTCATGGAACTGCTGGCTTGGTGAGCAATTCGTAATGGACTAGCTAAAAACGCAACAGACAAATAACAAACATCCTTGGTTTGACACGAAATGAAGCTGTCTCTTAAAAACCCACATCTTAGAAAAGTTTGTTAGTCTCTAAGGTGCCACAAGTACTCCTGTTCTTCTTTTATCTTAGAAAAGGGAGATTTATAATATTAAAAGAAAGGTTCAAAGGGAGGAAGGTATCATTTTACCAATAAATTGGCCGTTGGTCAATCTAGAAACTGAGTGACAATATATCCAAATTAAACACGCCATCTCCCTTTAGGTTGACCCCGACGCATGCACTACCCCAGGCCCAGCCATACTGCTTTCATTTCTTCAAATATTACCCAGAAAAAATTAAACACAATTGAGGGGTTGTGGGGGGAGGGTGGAACTAGGCCAGTTATTCTCTGCTAACCAATGGAAGCAGGTTTAACTAATGCTCTGAACTGCTTCTTAGACCTCCAGTTAAGATTAATCCATCAGAAAATCATAAAGGTGGGCTGGGACGTGGGTTCAATTCCTGCATCAAGTCCCCAGGAGCACTCAAACCACTGGGCTATCCTCCCTGCCCAGGAGAAAAGATTTGTATCAACAAACAAACTACTTAATAGAAGAATTAATGAAATTTGTTAAATATTATTTCAGAAAGCTGTCTTCTTCTTGCACTGTACATGTATATTACTTCAAGACCAGATAAATCTGCATCTGAAAGGCTTTGGCTTCAGCTGGAACAAGAGGTAAACAAAGACTTTGTTTTCACACATGCTTGCTTGTTGTTTCTTGATAATGGAGGTTTCCAGTACTGCCCAAGAATCAGCCTTGTAGCTGATTTGGTTGTGACATTGAAGTTATCTGCCCTGTATTAAGAAACTAAACTTTTGTTTTCAGGCAGAGCTATTTGAAACTTTTAATTAAGCTGAAACTATTTTTACAGCTGTACTCAGTCATGTTCTTGTTGGCCTATTAGTGTGAGTAGGAAAGTTTTTAAAACAGCTGTATGCATTCAGGAACTTTATTCTGCTAGAGAAATGAGTTTCATAGTGATCTGTAACTGCTTCAGAAAATACTTGCCTTTTCCTCAGTTTGTGTCAATGACAGATTTTTTTTTCTATTATGTTTAAGTTCTTATAGAATGTTATTCACTGTGGTATGAGTTCAGATTATTGGAGTGTAACCTTATATTTTATTATTCAGTTATATAGAATCAGTCTGTGCCTGACAAACAGTTCCCAGTACAGAAAAGTGAAAAACAAACTTGTTCATAATAGTACAAGTACTAATATGGAAAAGCTGGCCTCTGATTTGTTGCTGAAGCACTTGCTGTACTGATGTACAGTAATGGCTTGCTCTGTAGGCTACTGTCCCTTATTCCTTTAGCATTGTAAATTCTTGGCATTTCTTTGAGATAAAACAGTTAACTTTGAACCCTGTTCTTAAACTTCAGCATGTCCTTACTTATTTTTTGATTGTACTGCTGTCAATGTAGCTTTAACATTAATTTTCAAGGCAGCTGGGGTTTGGGTTTTGTGCGCTGTGAAGATAGAATATATTCTATTTTACCACTACTTACGAACATAGGCACCCTTTCTCTGCAGTGTTGGAGAGGTTTTGCTTGCTAGTCAGGAGGAGGATCAAAATGTAAAGTAGCATTGGAAAACTGTTTATATTAGATTTGTATAAAAAAATCTACACAACGTTAGTTATAAAAAACTCAGGAATCTTTGAAACTAGTAACGAAATGCCATTCCCATTTTATTTGCAGCATAATCATGTTTGCTTAATCTCCAGAATCCTAGTTCTCAGTGTAATGCAATCTGCATGTTTTTTTTATTAGACTGTTAGATTCCTGACTAAGTGTGTGCGCTGCTCCAGTCCATCAGTTTTACTACTTGGTACAGATTGCCAGTGCAGCCTCGAGGTATGTAACTAGAGCTGTTCAATTAAACATATTAAAGAAGACAAGTTCCACTTAATATTGTTATAGTAACAACATACATTGTGATTTAGGAGTGTTTAAAAGATGCTTTCTAATATGAAGCTTGAATTTCTCTGCTAGACTAACACGGCTACCCTCCTGATACTAGTCTGGATCTGTAAAAGCAGCAAAGAGTCCTGTGGCACCTTATAGACTAACAGACGTATTGGAGCATGAGCTTTCGTGGGTGACTAAGTGGGTATTCACCCACGAAAGCTCATGCTCCAATACATCTGTTAGTCTATAAGGTGCCACAGGACTCTTTTCTGCTAGACTGTGTCCTGAAACTTGGACACTTTCTATGGCTGACTCCAGTAAAAGTCATAACAAAATAATAGAAAAACAAAATGTTTTCTAATATGTAAATCTCCTATATGACTCTTTTTCTTCTGCAGGTAGTCAAGGCACTTATTATAATGTTGCATAGACAATGGGTGAAGGTTAGAAGATCTGAGAGCAACTTGAGTGCGTATAGAGAACGAATTGTTCAGTTTTTACGGGACACTGTTTTGCTCTTGCATAGTCTATCTCAAAAAGATAAACTGTTTCATGAACATTGCCTGGAAGTTCTCCATCAATATGATGAAGCCATGCCTGGTGTCAGAGCCATCCTCAAAAAAACTCTAAATTTGAAGGCCTCTGAAGGTAAGGTCCTGGCAGAAACTAAAGTTGTGTTTTTGTTGTTGGTTGGTTGGTTGTTGTTTCTCTGCTGCCAGGGTAATGGCTTTTAGAAGGTGTAACTGTGTTTTATTTTGTAAACTATGAAAATTAGCCCTAAAATACTGTAGATACTGTATAAATAGGTAGTATTTTCAACAGGTAACTAACAATTGGAAACACGCAGCTAAATTTAAGGGTCTCCTTGGAGTGGTTCTTGCCTCCAGGTTGAGTTTCAACACGCGCACACACCTCTCTCTCTCTCTCTCTCTCCTCCTCCCCTTCCCCCGCTTCACTGGATCAAACATTCTGAACTCTGCCAGGATAGCAGTCTTTTAAAAGGTGTTCTTGGAGTGGGAAGAGGGGAATTCCAGAGCAGAGTATTCTTGTTTCCTTGAATATTTGTATTCTTAACCATATTAATTTTGGTTATGTTTAAATATATTAACTGAGGAATCTGATGTTTAAAATGATGTTCTGACATTTATTTGTAAAATGATATTCTGTTTCAGAGTTGGCTTTGGATGAGTTGTATCCTCCTGAGCCAGAAGTAGATGATCAAGAAATGGACTGCAGCTAGTAATTCAGCAATAATCCACCCCTCTCTGAATTCTTGTTTCTCAGCTTTGTTGCCGATATACATGTGAAATTTAACTTGTGTGAAATATAACCTGTGTTGTGGTAAACTTTTAAATTAATGGTGTGCTAAAGATCAATTACTGTCACTTAAGTGTAGCATGTCTCATTTTACTTAATTGCCAGCTAAATTTAGAATTATAAAATATTTTTTATATCAAAAATCTTTTGATACTAAGAGAATTAAACTTAATTTTGTTTTATTATATATTTTTTCAGTTTGAAAATACTTATAAGTGACATGGAACTAAAATTGGCACAAACATGCTGTGAATGAAGTCAAAACTTCAAACTGTCGCAACACTTTCCACTTAACTCTAAGTCATTATGGTGTTGAATGTACTGAGTCCCAAGATCATTGTAACTTTTTAACACACAAGACATTTTTTTAAAAGTGTGTGTTTTCTCATATTTTTATTCAGTGTTTTGTCTAAATTACTCTATTTTGGGTTTGACAGACTTCAAGAATTTGCTCAATCTGATATTGGTAGATGACTTTAGTACTCATATTTTAAAATATATGTATTGCATTTACATAGTTGACAACTTTTGCCTTGAAAAAAGGTATTAAAACCTACTCTGCCCCTGCAACTATGACTAATAGTCATCAATGTTTCTGAACTTCGTAACGGGCAAAATCTAGGAACACGGACGTGGCAAGGTGAAACCAGTGAATCTCAAACCTTTTAAAAAAAAAAATGCAGTATGTCATCTTGTTTGAGGGTGCAAATATGAGGCAGTAGATTTTGGGAAAAATCCTTCTTTCCTACTTTGCAGAAGAATGATTTCTCTAATGGATTCATCATGTGTGTGCATTGCTTCTTTTGCAATATTTGATACTATCTGCAGTAGTAAGTGTGTGTTAAGTCTTCATCCTATGATCTAGCAACACTGTTTGGAACAATGGAACATTGTTTAACATTTTGTATGTGCTGAAGCCATTCAGTGGCTATAATCCGTACAAATCCACTGTACCTTTACTGAGGCGGGGGGGAGAGGAGGGAAAGGGTTTATGCTATTGTGGTAGCATCATCTGTGCCAAACATGCTTTAAAGATGAGATTTCTGATACAGCTTTTATTCTGTATATCTTCCTAGAGCTAGAATATATTTGTTTAATTTAAACTGTATGGAATAAGGCGGTTTTTGTAACTCAAAATAGTTAAAATGTTTTTCAGAAGTTTAAATAAGAGATACTACAATCCTGGAGCTTAGAAAATGAAATAAATGCATCTCTTCTCCCTGAAGAATTACAGTTAAATTACCAGTCCTTTTAACATGCACAGAATTGAAAAGGTATTCAAGGTTAAATCAGTGGAGGTGTGTATCTAACAATGTAAGGTCAAACTTAATGGCATATCTCTGTTTGTAATGTGATAAGTTATTAATGCCACATCTTTTCGATTCCAAACATTCAGGGAATATTCCAAGTAGCAACAGACATAACACTGTTGATTTTTGTGGAGATTAAAGTAGGAAAAGCCTGCTCCATGTGGAAAACCAGGTCCATTTACCTGCCTGGGGCAAGTGCTAAAGATAAAAGACAACAAAGAGATTCCTCTAACTTGGTGGGGGTAGGAAGTGTGTTCCTAGCCTGGTCGCTGACAGACAGAAGGTGGCTTTTATATCCTGGCTGGTGAAAGAGGGAAAGCAGGTACCTACAGGGAGAGGAAAGAAGAGTGGAAGTGGGGGAAGGAACAAGGGGGCAGAGTAAAGAACTGAGGAAGCTGTGCTGGGGGAGTTAGGTTTATGGTTTGAATGAAGTTGACTTACCAATGGCAGTTGCAAACCCCTGAAGTGAGGCGTACTAATGAGGGAAAATCAGGTGGCTGTGGGGGTAAGCAAGTTCACAGACCCCCTCTTGTGGTAGAAAGAGGGGCAGTGTGTGTGTGTGGTGGGGGGGGGGGGAGAAGTAATGGAGAAAGGTTTATGCAGGACAAGTGCATTGCACTCAGCAGGTGCTTCTTGCCTATCAGCTGTGGGACCCCTTTAGTAGTATTTATGTTGTCATACTGAGACCCTGTCATTCAAAAACAGGCAATGAAGATAGGTAGTGGTAGAGTCAGGGGGACATGGTCTAATTCTAGCACTAAAATGCTGGGTGGGCGCACTAAGTAAGGGCACAGCTTCCATTTTAAATAAAGGCCTTCATCGCTGCCCTCTTTCGGTGGGGTAATGGTATAAAGTTAGTATTTACATTAGTGCTAGAGGTTGGATACTAGTAGTTCCTTACTCCTCCACATGTGGCAGCGATGGTTACTGCCCTAGTTACCCCTCTCTCTTAGTTGTTCCCCCGTTACCCATAGCAGCTTCTCTTCCTCATGGCTGGGCAAGCACGCCAAAGGGCTGTAGAGCTTTTGATTTCAGCAGGGAAGTAAAGTGTGTTCTAGTCCCCCCCACACAGATTTGACACATGTCCTCACGGCTTGAGCTGTTCCTGTAGGGAAACACTTGCTGGAACGGCCCTGTTTCAGCTCCTCCACTCACCAAGCCACCTGTGAGTACAGCCCAGCTTCTCAGTGTGCTGGACTCTGCAAAGCAGCATGCTCGTGCCCTAGCAGTGCTGTGGAGGGAGGGGTTTTGTACCTTAAACCAAAATTCAAATATTTAGTTCCTGAAATTGTTTTACATCCAGCTGGTAACCCTTGGCCAAACATGCAGGTTCCAAAACTAAGATAGTAGAGGGCATCCTCCAGGGGCTCTTGCACAGTATATGCCTGCATGCTTGATGTAATAGATTGCTGGGATCCAGGCAGAGGACCTAGTCTGTGTTTTGCAGGCAAGCATGATGGGTTGTCCCCCCCCAGGGTGCAGTCTGGGAGCCATAGGAACCACTTTGCCCCTTTAACCACCCAGCTGGGATGGCCCTGCTTTGCTGGAGGTACAGCCAGCCTCACCAGGCCCTCATCACCAACATGACAGCAGGTGGCACCACACACCCCACTGTGTTACCTGAGTGCTTTACTCTAAGCCACTCAAAGACCAACAAAGCCAATTTCCCAGCTCCCCAGGCTTATACCCCCTACTAGAGCATAAACCCAGAATTATATAATCTTACACTGCACAGGGATCTGTACAAGGTAAGTAAGTTCACCTTCCCCTAAATGTGGAAAAGATATGCAACAACTGTTGCTCACAGAGCTGAGATTTCCCCCAGACATCTCACTTAAAGGCAGACTGGTTTAGATAAAAGCTTAAAACAAGTTTATTAACTACAGAAAGGTAGATTTTAAGTGATAGCCAACAGAGCAAAGTAGATTACCTAGCAACTAAACAAAAATGCAAACTAAGCCTAACATACTAGATGAATAGGATCTGAATTAGCAATTTCTCACCCTGACTCATGATACAAGCAGTCCACCAAGTTTCTGTACACAGGCTAGAAATTCCTTTAGCCAAGAACCAGCACTTCCTCCAGTTCAGTTGTTGTTCCTCAGGTGTTTCCAGGAGTTTTTTTTGTGGGGGGAGTAAGTCCCAGAGATATATCACTCCACTTTATATAGCTTTTCCATACAGTGGGAACCTTTTGTTCCAAATAGGGTGACCAGACAGCAAATGTGAAAAATCAGGACAGGGTGGAGGGGTAATAGGAGCCTATATAACAAAACCCCAAAAATCAGGACTGTCCCTATACAATCAGGACATCTGGTCACCCTAGTTCCAAGTTCAGCTTGTGGAAAAGTACAGGTGCCAAAATGGAGTTCAGTGTCATGTGGGCTGGTCACATGCACTTGCTGAATCACAGCAACCATTACTCAGAGGTTGTCTGGAGCATTCTCAGGAAGGCTCACCAGGTTGGGGATAAGCTTCTCCTAATGTTTGTTTCCTTTAACAGCCCATTACCTTGAATAGAGCCTTCACGGTAACCAGCTGTCTAGACTAGAAGCATCTTGCCTAGTGGGTATTACCCAGGTGTAACTACATTTGAAATACTGATTGTCAATATTCATAACTTGATACAAAAATGATACATGCACACAAATAATCATATTCAGCAAATCATAACTTTTCCAGTAACACCTCACAAGCTGCATCTTGTACTAGCTGCATCATAATTACCATATCATCATACAATATGGGGTGCAGTGTCACAGACTTTTACTCCTGTTATCTGCACTAGCTGGATTCCAGTGTGCTTAATTTTAGTGTCTTTTTTTCCAAGGAACTCAAACTGTTTAAACAGTAAGACTTTGTGAGCTACGGTGTATCCCTACTTAACAGACTTGATTTGAGAGGAACAGACTCTAGATCACAGCCTAATTTAAACTGACAAGTTATTTTACATACCAAGTTTTGATACTAACTTTCCACATTGGGGAAAATAGAAGAGAACTGCTTGTTTGGCATAGCTTCTCTGATTTTTCACGTCAGTGTCCCATTCTCCCCGTCCACGGATTTTGAGATGTGTGCCAACTTCTTCCATGGGAAAATTAATGCAGAGTGTAATATAAGGAACAGTTGCTTAAAATTATGAGAGCCTCACCTTTCTCTTTCAACATGGTGAAAAGTGCAACATGCCTCACCTTTCTCCTTCAATATTTGAGGCTAACATATTTGGAAGCAAGGTGTTCCTCCTTTATACAATATTCTGCTTATCCTTTTTAAAAGGTCACCGTTCTTTGAAACAATGAACTGCTGTCAGGGAAAACAGTGAGGGTTTATAAACCAAGGACCGGGTCCTGTCTCCTAGTTCCATGCATGGAGGCCATCTGAGCAGCACCCGTTCCTTTCAAATTTTGGTCATGTGGCAAAAGAGAAAACTACTGTAAAATTATGAAAAAAAAGATGAAGGAAAGGAGTTAAGAAGAAAAGCATCAGATATGACTTTGTAGGTAAGTGGTTGACAGAAAATGGGTTGAATTTACTGATTTATTACAATCTCAGTAGGTCCAGATACAGTTTCCAGCCTAGACATTAGTTTACAAAACAAGAATGACACTAGCTACCTGCAGTCTGATTAATTTTGAGATTGGACTGTACATATCTACTGTCTAATACGTCAAGAGCAATTTAGTTGAGAGGACAGTGTGAAATAAAGTTTCTACACTTCATGTGTACACTAATTATCAAATTACACCTCTACCCGATATAACACGAATTTGGATATAACCGTAAAGCAGTGCTCCGGTGGATCAAAGCAAGTTCAATATAACACGGTTTCATCTATAAGGCGGTAAGATTTTTTGGCTCCCGAGGACAGCGTTATATTGAGGTAGAGGTGTATATACAAAAGATTGCTACCTTCAAGGTGGAATGAGATCAGTGTAATACTCGTGATTATTCCAAGGTAAATAAATACCTACCTAAAAACAAATTTTTTAAAATTAGAGATTGGGAGAGCCTGATAGTTCAATATTCTAATAATAACTGAAGGGTTCTGTGTCTCATTAACTCAAGACTTCTCAGTGACCTATATGAAATGAATGGGAAGTCTAAATTCAATTTCTAGTACACAGTATCCATATTACAAAATCATCACCTCATTTGGACAGCTATATGCTCTTCTAGGCAGAATCAGAAAAGCTTACTACTATGCCTTGTTTACACTAGAGTAAAAGGTGTGTTAGCTCAAATGTTTTAACATGGAAGAGAAAGCACACTGCTCTTAACACATGCTACATTGGTCAAGTTGAAGCATGGGGGTGCATCAGCTTTAATCAATCAGTTTAATGTGTGTTTAAGTGTATACTCCATTGTCTATACTAGACTTTCCCAAAGTGTTGGAATGTGTTGGCTAATGCATTCTAATATCACACCTTTTAATCCTAATCCAGATAACGCTTTACAGATGATCCTTTTAGATTAGGTTTGAACAATATTGTCAAGGAAGCAGAGAAGTTTGGCCTGCCCCGCCATGTCTATTTTTGTCTAAAAGGTAAGTCTGAAGTGGCAGCAACCATGAGCAATATATTCACCATACAAGATGACTAGAAATACAAATGTTAGAACTGTCAAACACACTGGCGCAACATGTAGCTAACCATGCATACTTCTAAATGTGACAACTTTCAAAGTAATATGAAAACAAAATGGACACTATACTTCAGACATTTCCATTTATTATAAATAGATGTACAGACTTTATTCCAGTTCTTCGGAATACTTCTCACGTGTAACTACAAACTACTTACAAAGCAAGGTTATAATTGAGAAAAAAACCTAAGAATTATATGGTAAATTAGTACAACAGAATATTCTACTGTATTTAAATCACTAGACTGTTTTCAAAATGAAGGCACTTAGAGTTTATAAAAACAAAACTTTTGAAACATGTAAAGTTTGAATTCCATTCCTCTTCTCCCTTAACACTAATCAGTTTTACATTTGCAATGTATAAGCTACTTTTGACTAACATGTTATCAATGCATAAAATAAGACCTCATGGGCCAATTTCTGCTCTTAATTACACCCACCATTAACATAACTACACGAGTTACATAGAAACAGAATTCACTGGGTTACATGGGAACAACAGATTTTGGTCCAATGTCAATCTTTTAGCTACGATTAATATTCACTATACACTAAGAATGAGAAACTGAGTTAAGTACTTCCACTATGAAACAGAAAAATATACAAATCTGCACTCATTTCCTCCTCCTTCACCCTGTCCAGCTCCAGGGGTAATTAATTCATTAAGCAATTTTTCATTACAAAGACACAGCTCCCATTAACATATACACAGTGAGGAAAGGATACCACACATGCAGTTCCTATCCTACCCCTAATCACACGAGATCCTCCTCTCCTAGGATAGCAGGTCTCTCTCACCGTCCTGAAATTATCCTAAATGTTCATTGTACAGAATCTGGTCTATAATATCTCTACTATGGATCCTTCTTATAGGGACCATTTTCTCAGGGCTATGGGATTGTAAGTCACATAGGCAGGGTATATGCCTACACACAAAGTTCACCTTGTGCCATGCTCTCCCCTTAAATGGGAAAACCCGAGAGGAATAGTTATGTCCCAAACTGTACCACACTGTGGTACCGCAACTCAATGGAGTTACCACTTTAAGCAGAAGAAAGGACAAAAAGGAAGAGGCCACAGCTTTGTAATCACACAGAACCAAACTATTAAGGAAAATCCCAGCCCCAACTCTGAGGACCTCAGGTCATCTGTGCTGAACAACTGCCCCTTTCTGTTCAGGCTCTACCCTGGCAGCTGTCTAATCTGGTTGCTGTGATGATCTTGGTCCCCTCTACTGTGCCTCTGCACTCCTAATTGTCCAGCCACCCACACAGGTAGAGGCTACAGAAAAGGAATTATGCCAGAAAACACTTCAGAAAATAAGACATACAGGATTTGTAGGGGAACATACCACAGCAGAAACTCCTCAGCTTGTCTATCCCTCCCTCTCCAGCTGTTCCCACACAGCTCCAAAAGTGCAGTATTTACAGTGAGGTGCTACCCCATCTTCTGGTTGCGAAGCAGGGAAGAAAATGCACCATATAACAACAACTCCTTTGTGCCTGTTTCATGGCCCCATTTAATGTTATTAGCACAAGTGCTCCCCTTGGTGCTATGTAGCAAGGCAGACACGGGTCTCCTATCAGAATACTGGACAACTGCTGAAAGTTTGTGAAATTCCCTGAAGACCATCTCAAACAAAGGTTGAAAAATCCAGGCACAGACTGCCTTTTAATTTCTATTTTCACTGTCTGATACTATGTTGAAATATGGACAAAGCTGTTTTTGAAAGTTAGTTTCAGTCACAGCCATTCTGCAGATAGAGGCAAGATAAACAACACTATCAGTGACAAGATCATGTCTGTGCAAACAAACTTGATTTTTTTTATATATATATATATGTATATATATATATATATGTGTATATATATGTATATGTGTATATATATGTATATGTGTATATATATATATGTATATATGTATGTATATATATCAAGTTTGTTTATAAAATATATATATATATATATATTTTTAACCTATCACAAGTACAGGACCCAAAAACAAGCAGCTTGTAAACATCTCTAAACAAATGAAACCAGAATGAGAGTAATGTCATAATATTCCATCCGTTCAGCTGCACTGAAGTAATAGTTAACTGATTAGCTTCATCACTGGACAATAAAAGCCTATTTCAATTTTAGAGAAGAGTTGTTGAGGGTTTTTAAAAATCAGATTGTGCAGTGTGTCTAAAATCGTGACTAGTTTGGTAAATACAAGCTTTAAAATGGAAAGTAATGCCGTGATTAGTCACAATTACAATGGGTTATAAAAGTCAATATTTTAACACAAAGCTTTTATGATAGACAATTTTTCCCCCTGTACTTGTGCAATTCTCCCCGAAGTAAGCTCCTTTGCATCGCTGGGTCCAAATCCTGCCATCTTTACTTAGTCCAAACTCCCATTACACTCAGTGGAAATTGGAAGGATAGCAGGATTTGGTCATTGCTGTACAGCATGTTGAGATTTTTTTCCCCAGTATTTTTGAAGTCAATATTTAATTTTATTGGAAGAGGTATCTTATAAAGTTCCTGTCTTAGTGTAAAAACACACTCAGGAAGTCCAGGGCTTGATCTTGCTGGGAGGCACATGGGGTACATCTCCATTTCTCTTAAAATTAGCTACTGCACACGTGAGTGAGCAGGATTTATAACTGGGTCAGACTGCTCTTCTGCAAGTTTGAGAAGCAGTGTTTTCATCACAGGGATAATGCATGGTTCTGTCAAGGTGAAATGTTTTTTGCAATATCAAAACATAGTCAAAACTTGCAATGATGAAGCAAACAAATTCTCATCCAATTGTTCTCATGCAGCATTCTTAGGTTTTCAGCTTGTTGACATGTTTATTTAATTGAACAGTGGAGGGTTGGTTTGTTTTTTGCCAGGGATAAGAGAGAATTAAATAAAGGAAGTGAAAAGACACCTAGTGACTTGACATGTTTTTAGCTTTAAAATCGGAAAGGAATAGATCAACCCCCTGCCTGTTGGGCACAAAATAAATGCAACCAGCGTGGGAAAAAGCTATTAGAACATGTTCCACTATCCCTTTCTGAACACAATTATATTCCAGCAAAGGAAATTTCCCTTTAAAAATCACTAAGTTAAGTGTAGCTTAATTCATCATGTTAACTTGAAAACAGGAAGATCAAATTTTAGTAAAGTTTTCTGACAATTAGGTTTATATTTTAATAATATGCAGATGAATGCTACAGCTTTGGGTGCTTACGACTGTTTAACTTATTTCTGATCATTCTTTTCGAACACCCTTCAAATTATTGCACAATACACATTACCATGCTTCTTGTATCTGAACTATTCCCTTTTCACCCTTTTGTCACTGGAATTTGAACAAGTTCTCCTATTGTATTTGCTTGAGGTATGGAGTGAACTTCAAGTGATAAATTCTTTTGCTTGCTGAGCTCAGTGTATTTTAAAAAGCTACTGATTTAGATTTCTCTCTTTACAGAGAGACGAGGGACTGCTGCATTTTAAGAAAATGTGCTACAGCTGTATGGTGTAAACAGCATGTTATACTTTACAAAAAAGTTATGCACAGAGGCATAATAGAAAATCCATTCAATAGATGGGCTTCTGAGGGTCCATGTAAGCAGGATTGTAGGGGGGTTGATTGACTGGGTAGGGCACTCCAGCACCAGCTGCAAAAAACAAAACAAAACACAGGTATCATATATTAATGTTCTCATTCTATACTTACTTTTCAATGATAGCTCTAGTTCCTATGGCATAAGTCAAAGATTCAGCTTAGGTTGCATTTTAGTTGTGTTGGAGAATAATTTACTAGCGATAACATGAGAAATATTCACACTTAGCCCTGGTCTACACTACAAGTTTAGGTTGAATTTAGCAGTGTTATATCGATTTAACCCTGCACCCGTCCACACAACAAAGCCGTTTTTTCCGACTTAAAGGGCTCTTAAAATCGATTTCTGTACTCCTCCCCCGACGAGGGTATTAGCGCCAAAATCAACCTTGCCAGGTCGAATTTGGGGTAGTGTGGTCGCAATTCGACGGTATTGGCCTCCAGGAGCTATCCCAGAGTGCTCCATTCTGACCGCTCTGGACAACGCTCTCAACTCCGATGCACTAGCCAGGTAGACAGGAAAAGGCCCGCGAACTTTTGAATCTCGTTTCCTGTTTGGCCAGTGTGGCAATCTGCAGGTGAGTGCAGATCGCATCAGCAAAGGTGACCATGATGGAGTCCCAGAATCGCAAAAGAGCCCCAGCATGGACCGAACGGGAGGTCTGAGATCTGATCACTGTATGGGGAGACGAATCCGTGCTATCAGAACTCCGTTCCAAAAGACGAAATGCCCAAACATTTGAAAAAATCTCCAAGGGCATGAAGGACAGAAGCTATACCAGGGACCCGCAGCAGTGCCACATGAAATTTAAGGAGCTGAGGCAAGCCTATCAAAAAACCAGAGAGGCAAATGGCCACTCCAGGTCAGAGCCCCAGACATGCCGCTTCTATGATGAGCTGCATGCCATTCTAGGAGGTGCCCCTACAACTACCCCACCCCAGTGCTTTGACTCCGTCAATGGAGTAGCATGCAACAGGGATGCGGGTTTTGGGGACAAGGAAGATAGCTCACAGCAAGCAAGTGGAGAAACCGTTTCCCCTGACAGCCAGGAACTGTTTCTCACCCTGGACCTGGAGTCAGTACCCCCCGAATCCACCCAAGGCTGCCTCCCGATCCCACCAAGCGGAGAAGGGACCTCTGGTGAGTGTACATTTGTAAATATTATACATGGTTTAAAAGCAAGCGTGTTTAATGATTAATTTGCCCTGGCATTCGCGGCCAGTACAGCTACTGGAAAAATCTGTTAACGTGTCTGGAGATGGAGTGGAAATCCTCCAGGGACATCTCCACAAAGCTCTCCTGGATGTACTCCCAAAAAGTTTACTTCCTGATTGATTGCAGACTTTATAGTAAAACTTGAGTTCTGCTTAGCTATACCTTAACCAATCATTTTACTGAAATTTAACTATCCAATCCTAACACATTTTAACAATTATTTAACCAATTATATCCAACCACCTTAATTGGTTTACACCCAACAAAATTAATTATACAGCAGACAGAAACAATCACAGAACCAGACAGAGATTATACAGACAAACAATAGGGAAGTGAAGACTACAGTGACAGAACAATACAGAAATGAGGATTTCACATCCCAGCTATTGATAAGTGACTTCCTGTCAGACAGGATGCTATCAAACTAAGTTTTCTTTAAATCTTTTAGGCTCTTCCCTTTCTCTGGCGGTGATAGATCGGATCACCTTTCTAACAGCCCCAGATTGCCTTATTTCCATGTGACTAGTTTGCAATGGGAGGATGTGACCGTTCACTTCCCAGTTTATGGCTGCCTCTGCTGCTTAGCCAAAGGCTTAGCCTTAGAACAGGGCCTCAGACTGTCACAGTACGAGAAGGCCCTTACACCGACAGACAGTGATTTTGATTCTTTCTTTTATACTCTATAACTAGCTAAGTGATAAAAATACAACTAAATTCTTAAAGTACAGGCCTTTGCAAATAGGCCTGAATATTTATATCCTAACATCCCCCAGTCAGCAGGATCTTTTTTGGCTGGTGTTATATAAAGTTATGTCAATGTGGACATTTGTTTTATCAGAAGGTGCTGAGGTTCATGGGAATTCTGAAGTCTTCCAGAAACAGCTTCCACAGTAATGGGGTAGTTGCTGAGTAAGCTGTCTCCAGCACTCAGACTCATCCTTAATATTAACAGTTTAATTATCCCAGGGAAACACAGCTATTGTGAAATATGATGATCATAGAGCATGACATTACCTTTCAGGTAATTTCCCTTTGCTATGATTATCATAATTCCTTTCTTACAGCTTCCTCAAGTCCCAACTTGTGCTCAATGATGCTGCCCACTTCCTCTTACGTACAAAGCAGCACAACCATAGTATCTCAGTCTTTCATCTCCACTGGAAGGACTTGTATTTTACAATCCAGTTCAAGGCTGGCTTCCTTGTTTTCAAGACCCTCTTTGGACTCTAATTCTAGTTCCCAAACCTTCTCTCCTCCTCCTCCTCATTGCTCCCTCTTTTTAAGCACTGGCCTCCTCTCTCGACTTCATCGTGAATGGTACAGAAGAATCTGCTTTTTGCTGATTCTGTCATCTGAAACATCTTTTCTGTAGAGCTTTGCCCAATCGATTCTAAGTTCCAGCACAAGTTCTTACTTCTCCTTTCTCTACACTTCCTAATGTTTTTGTTTCTGCTGTTTTTCTTTAATTATTTTATTTACTGAGCATCCTGAATTAAAAATATTGTACTTCCAAAGAGCTACTAAGTGTGCTTGTTTTCCATGCTACTCATGATAAGAAAATATATCCATACTTACATAAATTGTCTTTCCATCTAGTTGGAAAGTCCACAGATATTTTATAGTGGATTTTCAGCCTATTTGCACTTTGCAAGATGAGCATCTGTCCTCTAAACTACAAGCAAGCTGAAGCCCCCTTTGTAAGCCATCTGTGAACCTTCTTCCATAGAAAAATTGTAATTTTCCATTTGTAAGTGATCCTAAGAGTGGCGACTGGCAAGAGACACATATAGTACATGGAGCTATAGCCCTGGTCTACAGTACAGAGTTAGGCTGACACAAGGCAGCTTACATTAACCTTTATAAGTGTCTACACTAAAATTTCGCTCCCGCTGACGTAACTTGCCCACTACACCAACTTAACTCCACCTCCATGAGAGATGCAGAGTCAATGTCGATGTGGTTAGGTCGATGCAGTGTCAATGTAGACACAGCGTTGCTTACATCGACAGTTGCTGGATTTCAAAAGTGATCCCACAATGCCCCACACTGACAGGTCAGTCTGTGCAAGTGCTCCTGGTGCGCACATGCACTGCCGACACAAGGAGCAAATTGTAGACACACAGAAGCGATGTACTTACTGCAGTAGCTATATGCCGCTGCAAATTAGGTGGACTTAATTTTGTCATGTAGACATGCCCTTAGAATGGATTAAAATGGTACATTTTAAATCTATTTTACTTAAAAATCCCATTTGGATAAATACAAATGAACAGATCACCTTTGTGAAGTATTAGTCATGCATCTGATGAAGTGGGTATTCACCCATGAAAGCTTATGCTCCAATACGTCTGTTAGTTTATAAGGTGCTACAGGACTCTGTCACTTTTTACAGATCCAGACTAATTAATCGAATCAGAGGGGTAGCCATGTTAAACAAACAGACTGGTGGTGCTCATGTGTATAATTAACACAGATTTGTTACAAATGCATTTGTCTTCCTAGTGCGCTTAGTGTAAGAAAGAAGAAACATGATGTTTCTCTTCAACTGTGGTTTGCCCTCCTTGCTATGGCCTTACCTGCCACTGTCTCATGGTAGGCTGGTGGTCCTGAAACTTGCGTTGGATAAGGTGGAGGATACTGTGTTGGGTAGGGTGCTGCTGGCATCCCATGTTGTGGCTGGACTGGTACAGGATGATATCCTTGATAGGGTGCCACTGGGTAACCAGGTGGTATCCCGGGCTGCTGGGGATATGGTGCATGGACCACTGTCGTGGAAGTTGTGGTGGTCACAACAGCTATAAACATACAAAAGTAAGATGCATTTACTATTGATGCGTCAAGCAGACATCCAGAAGAAGTAATGAAGATATGGAATATTTTGAATGTTCTTTCCCATTTCCAAAAGGGAAATCACTGTTTGATTTGCCTTTGTAATTCACACCAGGTAGAAACCCCAGTTCAGAGTTCTCCAACATATTCAGAGACTAGTACCCCCAGCCCTCACATTTAAGTCCATGACTAAACTTCCATCAACTTCCATGGGAGTAGAGCCATTATGAGCCAGGACAATGGTTAATTTACCTCCTCCTTTTACTCCACAAAGGAGCCTGAAAAAATATTCTTTGACTCTTCAGAAACTGAGAGCTCATCTGAGAAGTTACTCACAAACCTCTGTAAAACAGATAATCATCATCCAATCATATGACTTTAAGGCAGAGAAGGTAACAAAGAAATTAACTAGATTCTCTTTAGGCAGATAGTTTTTAATTCCGTGTGTGAGCATTGTTTTCCACTGGTTCCTATCGTACTTCATTAGGCTTTTTTTTTAAATCTGTTTCTTCAATGCATGCTGGCACATATTCATCTAACTGAGATTGGTAGCAAAGTACATGGTTCATGTTTGTTACTAAATTACTGGCATAGGTTAACACTAACAACATTTGATCCTTGTTAGACAGTTCTGTTACTCAGCATATTGGCTGAATAGGCACTTATTTTCACAGCGTTTGTTACATGATATGCCAATTACTCCATTAATTAATTAATTGTCTCCCAATTTATCTTACAGAAGGGTACTCGACTGAATTCTCTACTGTGCCACTTACCACCACTTTATATTGGCCTTGCAGCTTTATCGTATACTTCATAAACCCTGTGTGATGGTGTTTACAGGCCACATACTAAAACAAAGCAAGGCATGGGGCAGTACTGGGCCAGAGAGACCCTGCCCCTCAGCAGATGCAGGGCATGGTCCAGGTGGAGGGACAGTTAAAAGGGCCCTGGGTAGTCCATGGGCAGCAGGGAAGGAGTTACCACAGTATTGGTAAGGCCACTGTGGAAATGGTGATCCATAAATTCTACCCCCCCTTTTTCCTGACTTGGGAAACCAAGAGAGGACCTGAAGGAGGGGATGTTGTCTCCGCAGCAGAACAATGCTGATTCTGCAAAGACTGTGACCATGCTCCAAACAGAGGAGCCACAGTCTGGTAGGGAGTGACTCAGGGGAATTGTAACTTAGGGTGGCATAAAGAGTGGTCCAGAACACTGTAACACCCCTTTATAGCCCTGGATCAGAACTCAGTGGAATGGGAGGGCCTGGATCCCCCCTCTTCTACTTCCCCTCCCTTCTGTCATGACAGAATCCTAAGGTGGATAAGAAGGGATGAATAGGAGGGAGATGCCTGCCATATACGACCCAAAAGAGTTCCATCTAGAATGAGCGGAGGGAAGAGAACTGTGGAGTCACCACCTGACCACTAGGCCAGCTTGCTATGAGACTGACCTGTTACACACAGTAAAATACATTCCTCTCTATAGCTAACAGTTAAATGGCATGTTTGTTCTTTAAATTGAGCAACTACAACCATTTTGTTTCCTGTTTTACCTCCTCCCCTCTTCCCCCCCCCCACTCGAGAAGCATGGATACCACTCAAGACCTCTTTAAGCACAGGATTTAGTCCACCATACCGACTTTTAGTCCACTTTATCCTCATACCCTGCAAACATTCAAGTTTTTGATAAGCAGCCCTGTAGCGGGGCTGGAATCAGGTAACAATTAAAGATTTTAAAGTGGTCTTGTTAATGTAGTCAAAACTAAATATAAAATAGATTTCTAATTAAAATGTTCCCTTGTCTACTTGGTCAATAATATTAGTAGTTTCACACATGTTGGTCCAAGTGTGGGTTTTTTCTTTTAATATATAAAATAGATGTATTTAAAATAGCACAGATTTTCAATATAAATACAGACATTCCAAACATTCTTTTGACTTCATGTCATTCTGGTTTTTAAAAGTTTAGGTTCTGGAAAATTATTAAAATAATTCCCATTTCAAACTGAATTCTAGGGGGATGTCTAGATAGAAAATTAGGAGTTAAGACTTAGAGTGGTACAGTACGCTTTGAGTCATAGTCAACACAACACAGCTTGTCCATTAACAAAAATTTCCTGTTTTAATTGACCTAATATGATGAGCTCAGGAAATGATTTAGATAATCTGTTCTTCAGTGATAATCCAAAAGACAGATCATCAAGATTCCTTGTCATGAGATGGAGAGGAAGAAGTCTCATTCTCTGAAGATTTGTTTAATCTCCTGGCACTGATGACGTTTCAGTAATTGCAACCACAGTTACTGTTGCACTGTTTGAACCTTGGTATATTTCCCATGGCCCCTTTCTTGCGAAGACTGCCATAGGGAGGAATTTTTAAAGGAATCAATTATTCCAACTTTTGCTCACTAAAGAAAAAAACATTTGAAAACAGGAAAAGACAACTATGTCCAAAAAGATTCAGAGATTCCTATAACTACATCAGAGTTTGAAGTGTCTCAAAATGCTTACCTCTGGTATTCTGCGGGATGGTGTGTGGGAAGGGCGGGGAGAGGAGGAGTTGTGCTAGTTTGACAATGATGCTATTTACTAAAAACAAAACTTCACTGAAAAGAGATAAAAGTTAACAAAAACGTAAACAAATACTCACGCCGTGGCCTCCGACACGTTTTATACAAGCAGCAGCATGAACAGGTGAAGCACAGAATGACAGTGACTACGAACACCACAAAGAGGGTGACCCCTATAGCAACAAAGGTCCCAAAACTGAAAAAGAAGAGACACTTGAAAGTCACACTGGTTTTCGTGCAGCTTCATTACCACACACCTACAGTAATATTCTTCAGCTATGCAAAAACGCTTAGGAGTCTGTGTGTCATTCGATTTCTATTTTTATTACCATTTATTGTTCACTGTCACATATTTGAACAGTAAACAGCTGTTTAAGGGTCCAGTCCTGAGTGAACTCAAATCTACTGAAAGACAATGCAAGCAGAAAGCTGCTCAGCACCTCCTAGAAAGCATTAAATGTTTTGCATGATTGAACCGTAACATGGATAGTTTAATCTTTTCTATTGTGATGTGGTTGTGTGTGTGTATGTACTTTCAAGACCAGAGATATAAAGCTTCAAACTCATTTTAGTCACACCTTGTATTTTTGGACAGTGGTTCTCAAATGTTCAGAAGCCCAAGACCACTTTTTTCATTAATAAAATTATAGATCCCCCATTAAACATGGAATGCTTGAATCAGTGAGAATCCAGGTGTTCTGTTTGTTTTTTCCAAGCATTCTCCCACTCCAAAGTCTTCACAGACCTCTTGGTGATTGCGGACAATGGTCTTAGACCCTGTGTTTTGCAGGTCTTGCCAGATCTGGATCTTGTGCAGTTTGGATGCAACCAGAAGTTATTACACTATCCAATGACTATCTAGTAGTTTGCATTAGAAGATCTGGTTTTAGTGCAATTTCTGAGAGACAGGAATACTCATCACAGATAGCACCCTTGTTGGCAGTCTCAACATAGGCGAACCAAGGATTGCTTTGGCATTTTCTTTTTTTTCAGTAGTACCAAACCAAGGAGACAGTACATGGTGTTAGGGTCTCAGAACTTTTTTTTTATTACCCCTGATTATTTACCTTTTCAGTCTAGCGAGTTAGATACTTAGTGGACGTCTCCCATTTTCTGCAGACCTTTTTACTGCCATGCCAGGTCCTCAAGCTTTTCTGAAAGATCATTGTTTAGACTTCCTACGTAGTCTTCTTTACTGATACATAAATCACAATGCCTGGGTTGTTCAAGCAAAGGCTTTTTATGCTTTAATTATAAAGTAGCTCAAATGTATGCATTTAGCCGATCTGCTATTGTTTTCTGTGATATGAAATCTAATGAAGCACTTCTTCCATTCAGACTATTTTGTGGAATTAGACTGAAAATCTTGTGGACAGTTAAATTTGGCATTTATATTTCTTCTTTATACTAGTTCAAAATGAATGAAGTTCTGGCACATAATCATCCAACAATGGTAAAAAACAATAACAGGAAATCACTTTGTTTTAACAATGAACTTTAATAAGGAACACAAGATTATGTTTAGAATTATCCTGCCCTCTGCTTCATTGCTGAGCTTCTGCCTAAAGTATTTCCCAGACTTCTTCCTGTCTTGCTTCCTGTCACAGTTTTAAATAAAACATATATATGCCTACAACCATTTTCACATTGGCAACTGAATAGCTATCAGATGGTGATTAGTTTTCACTACTGACAACCCAGGCAAATTGAATGACTGACCTGAATTTGAGAGGCTTTGTGCTCCTATTACCAATTCTTGAGGCCTCATGTCTCAGTTTTCCAGTAGCCTATTAGGCAGCCAATAAACACTAGTGAAATTAGAAGTAAAGGCTCTGTACTGTTATTTATTAAGTGAATGGCCAGTGCAAATTAAGACTGGGCCACACAGACCCATTACAAGGTACTTTAAGCACATACTCAAAGGAACAAGAGGGAAAGGAGTCAAGTGTACAGAGTCATACATGAGAATAATTTTGTTTTGTGTGACTATTTCTGTATGTCCACAATCACAGCACAAGAAGATTTAAGTACTTCACATATGGTCTTGCTACATGTTTTGTGTTTTTAAGAAACTAACTTACTTTAAAATAAAGACATTTCTGGCTCTTATTTTACAGATTGTCTTCACTGACGAAATTATGCCCTGGTGTCTAGTTGTCCTCTTTGCTTATATGACTTACAATGGCCTTTCTTACCAGCATTGTGATATAGATATAACTCACAGTTCAGCTGCATTGCCCACCAAACCATCATATTATAGTACTTAAACTAAGGCCTTGTCTTCACTGCTAAAAAAGGTGTGTGTTTTTTACCTCAGGGTAACTAACATGAATGAACTATCCTGAGGTAAAAACTACAGTAAAGACCAGACACTTCAGTTTTATCATAAGGTAAACAGCTCCATATTTCCTCCATAAGTTGATCTCAACAAGTGTACATCATGGTAAAACTGAAGTGGCCAGGTCTTCACAACGTTTTTACCTCATCTGTTTTGGTTACCATGAAGTTAAAAAACAAAACAAAACAAACAAAAAAACATGAAACACACACCTTTTTAGTGTTGAAGACAAGACCTAAGTTGCAGCCTGCCTGTGATTGCCCCCGACACCTTGATTCCTTTTTATATGCCTATTCTTGTACTGAACTTAACATTGTAGTATCTCAGACCAATCCAAGGAGAAAAAAAAGTGACAAACTCTTGTATAGTCACTTCTCTTAACTGTAAAAGGAAATTATATTTGTTTTTATAAAACGCTGGTTTGCTATGTGCTGCTGTTTGTGAAGACTAAGTTGAAGTTAGTTTCTTTACTTGATCAACTAGCTAGTTCACAAAGTTCTATTGCCAAAAAACTAGGTAATAAACATTTTGTCCAATTTTTTTTTTGACAGAGTACTAGCTGTAGCATCCTGGTCACTTAGGTAACTGCGTAACAGAAGGTATGCTAATTATCAGCCAAACAACAACACAGGACTTAAGCTATTTCTGGCAAAGTGTTTTGTTGGGAGCAACTCTTTTCCCCATATTAAGTAGGATCACTTTTCTCGGTGTTATCGAACCTTTGGTAAGCATTCCAGACAGAAGTCAGGCATACAAAACACACACAAAAAATTATGTATTCAAACATTTTGGGACTCCTAGAAACCATCTTCAAACCATTCCTCACACAAAGAGCCAGGTTCCTCCAAAAATACAACTAACATCAACAACCTCCTTCAGATTAACAGTCTTGCCACCATGGATGTCACCTCCCTATACACCAACATCCTTCACAATGACAGCATCACTGCCTGCCTTAAATATCTACAAGACAACAGACAACACTTAGATATCCACCCGAAATACATTGCCAAACTCATCCAATTCATCCTCACCCATAATTTTACATTCAACAAACACTTTGTCCAAACCCTGGGAAAAGCCATCAGCACTAGAAGGGCTCCCCAATATGCCAGCCTCTTCATGGACCCCTGGAGGAATAACTATGCGACAAAAATGCATCACAAAACCAATGTCATACCTGAGATATGTTGATGATATTTTCATCCTCTGGACAGACAACCTAAACTCCTTAACAGATTTCCACTACAACTTCAACAACCACCACTCAACCATTAAATTCTCTCTAGAACACTGCTACACTAGCATCAACTTCCTGGACACCACAATCAGCTTCAATAATGGAACTCTACAGACAACTATATACAAGAAACCTTCAGATCACCACATGTACCTTCACAAATCCAGCAACAACCCCAGACACACAAAGCAATCTCATCTATAGTCAGGCACACAGAAAAGAAACTAAGATATACACCTTAACACACTTAAAACTGCCTTCACCAAAGAAGGATACTCCACCAGAGTAGAGATTGCATCCTGGAATGGAACACCCAAATATTCAGAGAACATGCTTCAATACAGAAAAATACCTCTGATCACACATCTCTAGTTGTCACCTACCACCCCACTTTGCAACCCATATGGGGTATCATTAAACAATTACGACCCATACTCAATGGGGAGCACATCCTGAAAGAAATCTTTCCCATACCCCTTCCACTGGCCTTTGAACAACCCCCCCAATCTTGCCATGCTCATCATCAGAAGAAACTCCCCACAGTTCAGGGCCCACCAAATCGAAGTGGCACCAGACCCTGCCAGAACATCAGATTCAAAACCTGCAGACACCTCTCCACTGCTATGATAATCAATACATCCCACAATACACCTTTCAAGATCCATTGGTCCTACACATGCCCATCACAACGTGTGGTATACCTCATCCAGTGCACTAAATGCCTCAGTAACAACTATGTAGAGGAATACAATACACCCATTAACCTCTCAAATGAACTCACATAGAAAAATGACAAAAGACAACACTATATCACCTGTAGGCAAACACATTTGACAAAGTGATCACTCTTCCTGACCTCTCAGTCCTCATCCTCAATGGAAACCTGCACAATGCCTTCAAAAGTCAAGACTGGAAGCTTAAATTCATAACTTTACTAGACTCTACAAATCATGGACACAAAGACACTGGATTTACGATTCATTACAACAATTGATAACCCATTAACCCTCCTTTGTCCTATGACTGCAGAGGTGTTAACTACCTACGTCCCCTTAAAAAGTCTCTTGCAATATGTGTTACCTCCTTAAGCTAAACAATCTGTTCCAACTTGTATTTAGCTGTGACACTGAATAGCTCTCCCAGACCTGAAGAAAAGTTCTGTGCAAGCTAGAAAGCTTGTCTTTTTCACCAACGGAAGTTGCCTCACCTACCTTGTCTCCCTAAGTTCCGCAAAAAGTATTTACAAAGATATTAGCAAACATGCAGCAACAGCTATGTTCTAATCTCACAATATAAACATGTCCTTACATATATTCTCTTATGGTGCTCATACATTCAATCTTTTCCAACATTGCTGAGTGATGTATCTTTCTAATATCTTTCAACCAACAATGCAGAGATACCAGCCTGAATGTTAGTGCTGTACTATGGTGCTTCAGATAGAAGCTTTCAAAGAACAAGAACTGATTCACTCTGATGAAGAATGATGTGGATGTTTTTCCTCTGCATATAAAATTGCTCTGATATACCCTACACTGCAAAATCTTAGACAGATGGCATATACAGTACGTAGTCTTTTGCAGTTTGCTAAGCGGAAGTAACACAGCGGCAAGAAGCA